CACACACACACACACACACACACACACACACACACACACACACACACCGCTCAAGTTGATCTGAGTTACTCAGAAAGAGGCCGGGGACCAAAGTGCAGGGATGTTAATTTTATATATGGGGGAAATTGAGGCAGGGACTTGCAGCATCAGTAACGGAGAACATCCAGAATTGAAAGCACTTGGACAGAGACACTGGAAAGTCCCCGCCCCTTTTAGTGTAAGAACTGAAAGGCTCCAATGCTTAGTACAGTGGGCCGTCATCCAAGACCTTCTAGACAACAGAGAAGCTGTGTGGATCTGCCTTCCTTGCTCTCTGTCCATGCATCAAACTTCCTCGGACACCTGCTAGCTGCAAGAACTGTCAGGCTCGGTCTTCTCCTCCTCTACTTCCTTAAGCACCATCACCACCACCACCACTCCTTACCCCTCCTTCCCACTGCCCCATTCAGTTTCGGGATTCTGGATTCTGGAATACTTTCCAGGTCTGTCTGGGAAGGACCACTGGAGAAAATGGCTTGAGCCTCTTGCCAGCATAGAAGACAGCTAGGAACTAACAGTTCTAAATGGCTGCTTGGGTTTTGCTGGTCCCAACCAGGAGCAAGAACCTTAGTAACCGCGAAATCCTGGCATGGGGAGATCAGTGTGGGAACTGATCCTTCAGTGGAGGTTAGAGAACAACAGAGGGAAATTACAGCCCAGAAAGGAAAGAGCTTCTAAATAAACTTCAGTCATTGTTTCTAGAAATACCAGGCTCAGTCTTATCAAAAAGGAATTTCCCACAGCGCCCCCCCCCCCCAGATCTGGATACCCAACTAGTCTGACAATATTGACTGAAACATATGCACACACATGCACACGCACACACACTCCACTTCTCCGCATCACTTTATCATAAATCAAGTATTTCACATGCTCATGGGCTGCTTCTGCATTCCCTGTCTCATTTACTTTTCTCTCCCTGTGCTGTTAGCACACTGGATTACTCCAGCTTTGTAATACATCTTAATTTTAATATTAAGAAGAAGCCTACCCACTCTTTAAGTTCTTTAAGGCTTCCTTGGCTGTTGACTTTTGTACTTTAATAAAAAAATCAGCTGGGGTTTTTATTGTTCTCACAGTAGATCTTTATGTCGATTGGGATGAAGTGAGTATTTTCGTTGTGAATTACTTTTATCCATGAGCATGGTATATCCATTTATTCTAGGTTTCTTTACAAGTTCTCTCAGCAACGTTTTGTATTTAAAAGCCTAGCACATCTTTTATTAGATTTACAACAGGCTTTTGTTGTTGCTGTTTTATGCTATTATCAATTATTGATTTTGTTTGTTGCTAATACGATGGTGAAGGCTTTCTAACAACTCCATAAATCCTTGGACACTCCGCCCAAGGAGCAGAGTCTAATAAGCTCCTTCCTGAAAAAGTCCGATCTTATGGAATGATTCTTAGCAAATAGAGAGACTTCTAAGGCTGCTGGTTCATAAAGGCTGATACGGCCCCACCTGCTTGCCTTCTTCTTCGGATGCTTCAGGGTCTGGAGCTGTAAGCCATCATGTAAGAGGTCTGGAACCACAAGAAGAACCCCCAAAAGGACACAGCTGAGTCTTCCTCTAACCCAAAATGTTCAGTACTTGGGCAAAGAGACAGGTAGGATCTTTGTGAGTTCAAGACCAGCCTCATCTGCATAGTAATTTCCAGACCCACCAAAGCTACATAGGGAGACTCTGTTTTAATAAATAAATAAATAGATAAATAAATAAAATGTTCAGTTGTCATGACAGGTAATAAATGGTTGTTGTTATTTTAAGCTACAAAATTTTGAGGTTGTTTCTCAAGCATATAAGCCTGGAACATACTAGAAATAAACTTTTACATAATGTTCTTATACCCGGCAGCATTGCAAACTCATTTGTTTATTCTAATCATTTGTTCATGGATTCTTTGGCTTTTAAAAACCATAGAGCTATTTCCTGTCCCATCTGTAAAAATGAAAGCTTGCTCTTACCTTTTAATCCTCGTACGTTTTGTTGCTTTTTTCTTCCCTTGTCTCATTGGCAATAGAACATTTGAGAGAAGCCTCCGGCAGCCAACTTTGCCCCCTTTCTGAGCACAGTAGGAATAGCAATACTCACCACGAACTGTGTACTTGCTGGATTTGTGTGTTCTCATTTTTCTTTGCTTTAGGTTTGTTTTGGGGGTTTTGATTTCAAGATAGGGTTTCCTCTGTGTAACATAACAGTCCTAGCTGTCCTGAAACTTGCTTTGTAGACCAAGCCTGCCTCTGCCTCCTGAGTGCTGGGATCAAAGGTGTGGGCCACCGCTATCACTGGGCTTGCTTCGTGTTTTATGGACACCTCTACTCCGTGTGTGTGTGTGTGTGTGTGTGTGTGTGTGTGTGTGTGTGTGTGTGTAGAGAGAGAGAGACAGAGAGGGAGAGAGAGAGACAGAGACAAAGACACAGAGAAAGAGAGACACACAGAGAGGATCTCGACAGAGCCCTTTGAGTTCAGGAGACAGAAGTGCTACAGGTGGCTACAGCAAGCGATGTGAAACACCCCAGTGCTGATCAGACAGTCAGTTTCTCCTGTCCCATTTCCCGCTGCCCACTGCCACCGACTTGACCTCACCAACTTTAGCCAAAACTGTCAACCAAGTTCACCAGGGTTTGAAGGTTCATGTGAACAAAACTGCCACAGGGTTCTCTGGAATCTGCCAGCAGCAGCCACCATTGTCAGCCCTTCCCTGAGAAGAAGAAGGGACACCAAGAGGACACATGGAAGTCTGGTGTGAAGGCCACCAGGGAAGACATACAGATCCCAGAGCTTGACTTTATCTTGTTCTGTTGCCTCATTAGGTAGGACGCTCTCCTGAAGGAACATCACAGCCATGTTTGTTGGCTTCAGGATAGCAATGGGTCTTGAGCCCTGCTCCCCTCCAGAGAATGGACAAGCTGACTTGGGCCAACTTGGCTGTTCCTTGCCTACAATAGCTCCAGACTTGGGGAGTCTGATGAGGAATCTTCCAGCTTTCAGCTTCCTTTGGGCATAAGTAGCTAACAGTCAACATGTGGATGTGCTTGGGTATGTTTTTATTATTATTCAGATATGGTCAAGACAATAGGAGATGATTGTTATTTAAAAAAAAAGACAAGCCTAATATAGTTTTTCATAGGAGGGGGCACACTGTGTTGGAGAGTACATGGTGGCTGGAGCAGAAGAAGAGAGTAGAATTTAGACATTTGTCATAGTTTCTACAGACTAGCTGGTTTGAATACAGTCCATGCATCCGGGATCTCTATTAGAGATCGCTCCTAGTTGGCTGGTACCTAGCCCCTGGGCAGTTTGAGCAGGTAAGTAATGACCCAGAGTACAGGTACTCAGTAAAAGACAAAGTTAGAAGCAAAGGCTCTGGATGTCTGTTTTCTTTTGAAAAGTCTGCTCACAGGCAAATCACATTCTATTGGGGGTAGGGATTAGCTAATCATAGAAAGGGACTGTCCCTTCGGGGTTTGCAAGACCCCAGTTGTCAAAGCATCAGATTACAAAAAAAGGCAGAGCTAATACCCATGGGATCCCAAAGGGGTGATGAGTCCAGCTCCACCCACAGCTCCTCTACCCAGGGAATGCTATGACTTTCCTTCAAAGTGGCCACCATCTTAGCAAGCAATAGCGGCGGAGGAGCTAGTCACTCAGCTGTGGAAGGCTTTGGGTATGCCGTAGAACCGTCCTCCTTTCAGGCGTGTGGAAGGATTGCCCCTTTCTTCCCTTTCGAATTTGAGTGACTCGCTTTACCAAAGGGAACGTGAACCACAGGGATGTGGGTCACTTCTGAGAGGGAGCTTTAAAGAGACTGGTCACTTGGCTGAACTTGGTGGCGTACACCTTTAATCCTAGCCCTCAGGGGACAGAGGCAGGTGGATCTCTGTCACTTTGAAGCCAGCCTGGTTAACGCAATGGGTTCTAGGACAGCCAGAACTGCATAGCAAGCTGCA